TCTATAAAAAGTTTAGACTGGCCACAAAAAGCAATATTTTCTGTCACACTATTACATAAGAATTTCAGTCAAGCTCTAGGCCTATTGAACCAGAACGGATAACTGTTACATTGAAATAACCGTTTAATTTAAATTGTATGTTTAAATAACAAGATTTTTTATACAAGCAGGATGTTTATGACCAAACAATTTTGAGAGATCATTCGAAGATCAAGTATCAAGATGGTGTGGGTGGAGTTTAGTGTTGACAGGAAAAGGACAAATTATGAATTATTTTTATCTTTACCTCCAATTAATTTATTTGTGCTATTTGCCTTATTCTGATAAAATGTCTGTTATAAGCAAGTATTTAATTCTTTCGATTTCATTAATGGATGGAACAAAAGGAGTTCTTGGTGTTTAAATTTCATCCATTCAAGTTACGGCATTATGTGAATCAGTGCGTGAAATCGACTAAGAGTTGAATAATTTTTTCCCACAACAGTTAATTTAATGGAGCGGTGCAATCGCTTTAAAATAGCAGATCTTTTTTTACAGTTTCAACTAATTTCAAAATTTAGAACCATTAATAATACTCCCCTGATAATCGTAAACAAAATAATTCAAAGGTCAATATGGCGCCAGTAGGTTTTTTCACATTATAAGGCAAACGAGCAAGCGGCCACCTGAATCCGCCGAAATAGCGAAGCGACTGCTGCCCATAGACATTCGCTGCAGATGCGTTGCCAACCTATTAAGCGACGAAGGAGGAGATGCACATAAAGAGGATATTACCCCTTCCTATGTGCCTCCTCCACTGTCAAATCCACTCTTCCTTCTCTTCCTTTCCTCTCATGAAAAGGGGTGGAAAGGAAAGTAAAAACTCGTCAGACAAAACGCGGAATTGCTTCCACTTCACGCCTGTCTTGGTCTGTGTGGTTGTGGTATTGCACCGGGCGAGCCGACTTATACGTGCAAAGATGTCAAAGCTGGCTCTACTACTGTCAAATTGGAATACACTTGGATATACAGTCGTTGAACACGTAGATAATATAGTAACCGTCGTGAATTTCACACTTATCTTGTTTACAGATCTTGACACAATTCTGATACGGAGTCCTAATTAAACATCCTTTGAATTGAGACGGCGATAAGACGATTTATTTTTCTTCTATAAAACCGTTCAACTGTACTATACAATATTGGCTGGAAATTTTCAACAAAATTTTAAACCAGTGATTCTTAGGGACTTCATTAAACTTAAATTGAACGTAACTATACTAAAGCGAAAGATATCAAAAATCGTTATAAAATCAATTTCTGCTTCCCTTATCATTTTTTTTAAATATTTACTTTACGTTGTACGTTAATATGATTCTTTTTTTGATTATTAAGAACTAGCTGTTCCCATGCGACATCGTTCGCATAACATTATAAAAAAAATATTTTATTATTCACATTGGTCAAGTTATCAATTGCAAAAGTCAAAATGACATGACATGATGTCAAATCATGGCAACCTTGCTTCCTTGATGTTGGCAACAACTTATGGTCTCTTTCCCACATTAGGGTTTTTATCCAAAATATTTACCCCTAAGTTTAACAGCATGAAAATATATAGCCTAAAGCGTCACGTAAGTGTAAGGCTTTTTATTTAAAAAATAGTTATTCGAAAATATGCTGTGATTACTAACATCTTAGGCAACAAAGTGTGTGTTTACTATATTAGTATAGATAGTTGAGGTCGCTTCTAAAGTAGAGTTTCACGTTCACAATAGACGGAACTTCGCGTCACCAGAGTCGAGAGCGTTTGTTGAATTACTTCCACCTGCATTATCTCCCCTCGGGACAGGTTATTTGTCTTCACTCTACATGTCAACGCTTCTCAAACTATTGAATCACATATCAATGGATGCATATCAAAAAAATATTGAATAAACCTTACTATGATAATAACTAGTTCGAGGAATTGCTTTTTTTCGTAACTGAATTTTGTAATTCCGTAGATTGTTTTAAATTATTAGTTTATACACAATTTAATGTTGAAACTCATTTTTAACGAATATTGAAACAATAACAATTTGATGTTAGTGATGATTTACATTTATTATTTGAATGTAATCAAATCTTTATGTATTTCTAACACTTAAATCTTTAATATCTTGTAAAATTAAGAATAAGAATATATTTATTGCTCACTAAAGTTAATTACATTAATCAGTGTTGCCTTGACGACTTAACTAGGATTACTGTTTTTAAGAAGCCAAGAACTTCCCTTACAAAGTGATTCAATTTTGGTGAAAAACAAAAAAATTAACTGTTACTTATTAGTTTTATCAAGTAACATTAAAAAAAAATTGTATCAACAGTTTGGGTAACACATGATAAATAGCAACACCCTTATGCATTAGGGTGTGGTTTTTCAACGAAAGGATCGACTTTTTTATAGCTCGTGCTAACAGGTTTCGTTGACAGAAAAAACTAATGTTGCAATGACAGTGAAAGTATATCAGCTTCAAGAATTTCTTGCTATAGGCAATTTATTTTATCATGTTATTGAGAGAGAAAGCTTTCTATTACGCGAACTTACATGACTGTTGTGGTATTAGAGAATAATTATGAAATTCAATTTAAACCTTACTCTGTTTATTGCTTCTATACTTTTATCAATAATTTAAAAACTATGATTTGTCAATTTATCAATTGCAAATGTCAAAATGACATTACATGATGACAATCCATGGAAATTTTGCTTCCTTGATGTTGGCAGCAACTTATGGTCTCTTTCCCACATTAGGGTTTTATCCAATTTATTTACCAACTAAGTTTAATAGCGTTAAAATATATAGCCTAAAGCGTGACGTAAGTGTAGGGCTTTTTATTAATAAAATAATTATTTAAAAATATGCTGTTATTGCTGACGTCTTAGGCAACAAAGAAGTGTGTGTTTACGCTTTATTACAATAGTATAGAAGTATAAATATAGATTACTAATAAAGTTTTAATGGTTCTAATTTGAAATACTCATGTTAACTATAAACGCAGCGTTCATAAATAAATTGCATCTCTACTATGACCCGTGGGAAATACTCGACTCGTCTTGATGTCATTTGTCTCGGAAAATAAACTTTTATTTGTCTTATGAAATCTACTATATTTACGCACTCAGTCATTATGTTCATGCAATGATAGATAGGTGTAATAAAATTGGTGTGTCTGTTTGTAATGTTAAAAGTAAAATTCCAGATTTCGGGAAGATGTTATATTTGCGTCGCTAATAACTAAAATCGAATTTAAAAATTTTTAGTCTGTCTGTCTGTCCGCAAGCCGCGTTTGTTCTGGGTAATCTAAAAAACAACAACTGCCGATTTTAACCGGACTTGTAACATTACGTGGACGAAGTCGCGGGCCACTGCTTGTTTTAAGTATAACAAAAAATTTGAAAGTTTTACTAAGTGATTTTTAAAATAAAAGTTTATTAGAAAAAATTGCGATGAAAACATTGGACTAACGAATAGATAGGTCTTCTGTCGGTAGATCTATGAGGGGTCACCAGAGATTTACGGCTGATTGAATGAACGGAACGAGATGTCGAGGTCACAGGTCAGGCAGATGTTCATCGGGTCATTTGATGTAAATGAATCACGCGTGAAGATACATTGGTTAAAAAAGCAGGTCACACGATTAACTTCGCTTTTTCGTACATATGAATATTACATAATTACAAGAAATATGATAAAATAAAGTAATCTGAAGTTGTGAAATATCTTACAGCGTGATTTTTATCCGAGTAACAGAGAGGGTAATGATTTTCGCAAGTATTTTAGTCTGAATTTTGTATGCTGTACGTAAATTTCGTAGAATTGGCCTAGAGCCTAAAAGAATTTGACAAGTTATGAAACATTCGATTTGTCTTTTTCCCGGAAGTCATAGGTCATATTACTTTGGCACAAAAAACATATAGTTACTTTTTAGTAATATATAAAAATAAAGAGATGATAGTTATTATAGACTAGCTATTGCTCGCAGCTCGGCCACGTGTAATTAAAAAGTAGTAACCTACGGTACACACTGATAACGTAACTTTTAAGTGGTGAAAAGTTTTTGTATATCGGCCCAGTAGTTTTTGAGTTATTTCAATACATACAAAAATACAAATCTACCCTCTTTATATTAGTATAGATGTCTTATTAGAATAACTTACACTAATGTAGTATTAGTATATATTATTTATTGGCTTCGTATTGAAGTCGTCCTTCGATTATTAATTCCAAATGACTCATCGCAAGGTGTATGTAACTGGTTGCGCTAAGTAGGCAGGTTTGTTGAGATAATATTTTCAATTGATTATTATTATTGTTACTTATAAGTTTGTATGAATACGTACTACGTGCAGTAAATGTATTTAAGGTATAACTGAGTTATGAAAATATATTTGTATTAAGTGGATGACGGTCAAAAATGTATACATGTAAAAAAAATATAAGTTCTGCGGCGCGCACTGGCCACCTAAACCTAGTGTTGCCGCAAAGGTGAAAAATCGGGACAATGTCTGCCAGTGTTTTTTAATATTATCGTGTCCTATATTTGGCACGAGTAACAGGTGAATAAATCAATATCGAGCTCTGATAACATTATCAGTTACGCCGTTATCAAGGAAATATCACATATTGAGGACTTGCTAACGAATCGTAACACGATTTCAAGGAATATAGAGAACGAAAGTATGTAAGTATGAATGTACTTCATACAAACTTTTACAAATACATTTACATGTTTTTTTTTTAATGTTATCATTAACTGATTCAAAACTTTTATGGGTTTCTGATTGCATTTTTATTTGTCACCGGTACTATGTAGGTGTTTTACATAGCTTATTTACGTCTTACCCGTTGTTAAATACATCGAATTAACTATATCTTATTTAAAAACACACCGAATCGAACCGACGACTCCCAAGGGCTAAGGTAGTGTTACCACTGAATCAACTACATATAACTTATATGTAACAACTAACTTACCACAGCGACCAATTTCCCTCGAACGGTAATTCCAACCATGGGTGAGAATTTCAACTCCACCCCAGGCTCTATCACCAACTCGGCTTCCCTTTCCACCAGAAGATCATCTCTAAGCAAATATGGGCTTCC